AATAAGAGAGAACGAGGGAGAGAGGATTGAATTGATCCGGGGATTTCTCGCTCCCAATCCCTCAGTGAGCAGTGTAATGATGCCGTGTTGGCTGTGGCCCCAGAGCCCGACTCTGTTTCATTAGGTGTGATTAAAGCTGCCCTGCTGACTGAAGCTGTCCTGCCCGGCACACCTCACCTCACCCCTGTGACATCACTCAGCCTGGCAGAGCCGGGACTCTGCTCCCATAAGTCGGCCTTGTCTGTGTCAGTGTAGTTTAAAAGCTGGATTTGTGTTTTTATGGCTAACATGTTAGCAAACTGACACAGAGCAACATTATATTGAAGTGGTGTTTGTGTCTTTTACACTCTCTAACTGTGTCTGTCTACTGTTTGGTGCAGGGCATGTAGTGGACAGTGAATTTATAATGAGCTTAAACCAAAACTATTATATAAAAAGGGGTTAAAAAGCTCAGAAGAGTTGTAGTTCTCTGTGGGTTTGTCACCACAAGCAGATTTCAGGTAAACACTCAGAGAACCAAATCCTTTCAGGTTGGATGGTGGGTCCAGATGGGCGAGGGTTTGGGGCGTGGCTGAGAGCAGTGACTGCTTTGTTGTGACATCACATCCTGACGGCTGGTTTTAAGGCTCAGTTTCTGAATACAGGCTGTGTGCATTTCTCTGTGGACTGAGCGCTTTGATACTTTCACAGTATTAATATAGAACCTAGACCTGCTTTATAATCGAACAACACATGGACATCTACCTTTATACTACAGTATGTGGGACCTTTAAAATAAGAATACTGCAACTTTAAGCAGGAAAGGAGATGGAGTTAATTTTCCTCCTTGACTGCCAACTGGTTCTACTGATGACTAAAGCTGGTAACATACGGCCGTTGTCTGGTCCACATCTGCAATAAACAAGTCAGCAGACGCTTGCCTGTCTTTAACAAAGAGATTTACTGTCCTCTTTGGCAGAAAAAGGCCTGTACCTAAGCTAACTCCTCTGGGCTTTTCACGTTAACTAACACACACTGTTCACTGTACATTACATCTGAAGTGCTGAAGTACACACTAACATTTCTTCGTGTGTCTTTGTGAAATAGGTGGTGCTGGTGAGCCACTGTAGCTGGTTATCTCATGGTAACATGCTTTGCTGTGAGCCTTTGGCTTTCTACGAACCAACAATTTATACTATTATTTTTAATATTGTTGGTTAATTAGCTAATATTTTTGGTGCAGCTTACATGTTAACTTCATCTTCTTCTAGGTTGAATTCTTGTGTTCATCAAAGTTGAGATTTGTGCAAAAGCTTCTCATGGATTAACTTCTGTGTTTGTGATTCCATTTAAATGAATGGATTTCTGTTATATATGTTGTTGCCATGAATGTCGCTGTTTCATAGGATTTAAAGCTTTTAGAGGAACTGTCCTCCAAAACTAACTATCAATGTTTCTTCAAGCTAACATGCTATATATTAATCATAATGATTTGTATTTATTTATTTATTATTTCAGTCACAGCCCAGTTTGTTATTGTATTCACTTCCTGTTTGTGCATCCCATCTTCACCCTGCCAGCCTGCCCTGGAGGCCGCTTTGTTCACCCAGGGGGTTCGAAGTGGGTCGCTCACATACAGCTCACATGTGACACCAGGGCAAAAAAACAAGCGTGGATTAATCCCATCAGGGTATAGACAAATCATGGTTAAATAGATCAGCAATTTATCTGCTGGCTTCTGTTATCAGACACCAATTTCTTGGTGTCTGATACAAACAAAAAGCTGCTTTTTTTCTGCACAAAGCAAGTGTCTGCATTTTCCATCATGGATTTAAAAAAATAGTCATTCCTGACATTTTGTGAAAGGCCCCTATGGTAAATTCTTGTAAAATCTTATTATTTATTTGTGTCCACATTAGAAATCTGATTCTTCACAGCACTAAATAATGAACCCAGTGACTTCAAAGAAATCATGTGCAGTTTCTGCAGAACAATCGGGCCATTTTGCTGTTAGCGTGGGAAAGACAGACAGTCATGTCTCAGCAAAATGTGTCTTAAACAAGCAGTTTTTGTCGCTGCTCTCTCTCAGCTCTTTGAAGTCATAGCTAACTCATGACCAGCCAACACATTGTCTGGGTCTACACATATATTGAGAATCCTGTTTTGAAAACCTAAATGTTGTCATTGTCCGACACAGAAGTCGTTACACAGAGCCGTCCTTGTTGTGCTTTTAACCTAAAAACCAACTGGAGCAGCAGGGATGGGTTTAGTTTCTCGTTTAAGTAATGGGTTATTCAACCAGAATAAAAAATCTGGGTGATATTTCTATTTATATAAAGTGTGTTTATATCAACCTAGCAAATACCACATTTTGATATGAATATAGTATGATATGAATACAGTCCCTTCAAGTTTTTCTAAACACTAAAGGCTCGAAGTTGATCCGGACTGAACTTATGAATTTTATTTCATGGATAGTTTTCTTTATATCCATGTTTACATTACAGACAAGAAGTGCTAGTAGTGAATACAGCATGAAAAAATATGATGTAACATCATAACACAGGTGATATTTATGGTGTTTTATACTACCGTCTTCAAGGAATACCTCCTGCATAGGTTCAATACAGTGTTTTACAACGTCATGTGACATCACATCTACTATTAATGTACAGAAATGAATAAAAGAAATATAGATTCAGAAATAACAGGAAGAAAACTCAAAATCCTACATACGTACATTATCCACTAAAATTATTTTTACACCATCAGTACTCATTCTCAGAAAGTCCCATGAGAATGGTTCTTATATTCCTGGAAAACTGACTCTGACCTCCATCCATTCATACGCTGACATGCCAGCTGATGGCATTTCTGCTTATCTTAACGCCTCCTGTGGAACATACGCTGTCATAGAGGGTTGCGCCATTTAATGCATGTCAGCTGATTCCCATAGGATGATGTTGTGGTACAGACAGAAAAAGCAGTCCAGTAGCTGGAATGAGCTGAATGAAGTTGCTTTTTTTCAACAATTTATGGCACATGTCAAGACTCCAGCCTCACCCACCTGGACCCACCATCCAGTCTTGCAGGATTTGGTTTCTCTGAGTGTTTATACCTGAAATCTGCTATATTTTTATTGGATCACTCAGTCAGAAACAGAAGCAAATCAGAAAAGAGGCTCAGAGCCTCCTCTCCTCTGATTGGCTCACTGACCTTTTGTTTTTTTTTTGTTCTAAAAACCTCAAGTTTGTCTTCTTATGGATCAACACTAATAATATATAAATAATAAAACTGCTAAATAAAATATTGGGCCTTTTAAAGAGTCAACCAAACAACTGCCAGTCTAAGTGTAGAAAAAAGAAGCTTGGTTGTATGTAGTTTCCACAGGGGAAATTACATATTCATGTGCAGCAGGCATCATAACTAGTTAGTATAACACAATTGTTTGTTGCCAGAAGTGCAAACTAATCTTAACACCATGACCAGCATCCTTATTATCACCAGCACAAATCCCAAACCAATAAAAAATTGCTCTCTCAAATTAACAAATTACAATCTGCTCTTCAGGAAACAAATTGTTTTATGCTGTAACACACACGCACACACACACACACACACACACACACACACACACACACACACACACACACACACACACACACACAGAACAAGAACAGAAAAAGTGCATTAATATCTTTTCATGAGGCCTGGGTCCCATGGCAACACCAAATGTGCTCAGCCTGGGTGATGGGGTGATCGAATCCCCCAGACAAATCACTGCACGATCACACAGGCCTCAGCACGGTGGTGTGAAGAGGTCATCCATTGATATTAATGGCCTGGTGGTTTACTGGCCTGTGGTGATTGGTTAAGTTTATTCAGGCATTAGTTAGAGGGGCAAATCAATGGGATTTAACAGCCATTTTGACTCCAGAGGGTCTGGTGCATATGGTGCAAGGGGGGGAATGGAAGCAGCAGAGAAGGATGGGATGAGGAAGATGAAGGGTGGAGGGAAAATAATAGAAAGAGAAAGAGGAGTAAAAGGAGCTTGTGTAGGAGGATGAAAGATTAAAAAAAAGACAGGAGCGAGGTCAAGGAGGAAGAGGAAGACGGGAAGCAGGGAGAGGAGGACAGTAAAAAACGTTCCATGACGCCATGTGGTTTGTCCTTTGCCAATCTGCCGTAGCGCTCACGCAGGCCTGTTATCTGTTGTTTTGTCTAGAGGCAGATAAATCTGTAAATTGTCTTCATGGGTCGGACATCTCAGCATCTTCTTTATCTGCGGCTGAGTGATAGGACTCCCCCCTTTTCCCAGAAACAACTGACCATGAGACCTGAGACACTCTGGCCAATCAGATCATGACTCATCCAATCCCACACTTATTTATCTTATGTAGAGTTTTTGGCCAAAGCTGAGACTCCTGTAGTTCACACAGTTCAGCTTCAGTTTCAACTTGAAGAGTAACTTAACACGGGCGGCACGGTAGTGCAGTGGTTAGCGCTGTCGCCTCACAGCAAGAAGGTTCCGGGTTCGAGTCCTGGCTCGGACGCGGGGTCTTTCTGTGTGGAGTTTGCATGTTCTCCCCGTGCTTGTGTGGGTTCTCTCCGGGTACTCCGGCTTCCTCCCACAGTCCAAAGACATGCAAATGGGGACATGGCTAATTGAATACTCCAAATTGACCATAGGTATGAATGTGAGTGAGAGTGAATGGTTGTTTGTCTCTGTTTGCCCTGCGATGGACTGGCGACCTGTCCAGGGTGTACCCCGCCTCTCGTCCGAAAGGATGCTGGGATAGGCTCCAGCCCCCCCGCGACCCTACTAGAGGATAATCGGTAGACAATGAATGAATGAGTAACTTAACACCAAATTCACTTTCCTGATTTTGACCTCAGTTGTTTTGGTCTTATTCTTTATTTTGTATTGTAACAGTTCTAAGCATTTCCTTTATTTCATATTTTACCAGAATATTTCAGGTTTAATCTCTAACACATCCTGTCTCTTGTCTTTGTCCTTTCAGATCCGTTCTCAGTGGATCTGGACCAGTATGACGTGGTTTCTCTGACCGACACTCTCAGAGGTTTCCTTCAGGACCTGAACGCCCCCATCATCCCTGCCACAGTCTACAGTGAGCTGGTCTACACTGCCCAAGGTACAGTGTGGATACTAATACTTGAGATATTCACCTCTCAGATTCCTGCCTCCAGACCAACACAATGAAAGTGAATGGAGATGAGTTTGTTTTAAAATGATAAAGACAAAACAACAGCAGTGTTTCCCCTTTGAGGAGCAGTATCCTGGTTCCACCAAGATCAGGGGTTTTTACTCTGTTTTTGGATTTTTATTTTTTGGTCAGCTACTCATTAAACCAATAATTTCAGCAGCTACTGTCAGAAAACTTTTATTCTGAAATGAGTCCATGGATGATACAAGTGTCAACATTTTAGAAGAAGTTTGCGTATTCCTGGTCAGCTCAGTGTTTCTAAGGTTGTACATCTGTCATGATGAATGTGTCTGAATCTTGGACAGTATAATTGAAGAGGGTAATATAGGTACTGCAAATGTTCTCAGGTTGTGTGTCCATCTGTATGTATGTCTCATTCTCATTAGCACGATATCTCAGGAAGAACTTAAGGAAATTTCTTCAACTTTGCTTCAAACATTCACTTGGACTCAAGAATGAACTAATTAGAATTTGGTGGTCAAAGGTCAAAGGTCACGGTGACCTCACAAAACAGGTTGTTGGCCATAACTCAAGAATTCTGGACATTATTCCACACTGTAACTCAGGAATGCAAGATTATGACACAGTAAATAAAGATGGACGTAGCCTTTGTGACATCACCCACAGTTTTGAAGCTCAGAGTGAGCTGCCCCACCGTCGCCATCTTGGCAGTGTCTGACTCCGGCCCTAACTCCCAGCTAATTCAAAGCGGCCACTCAAAGAGGCCACGCCCTCAATTCTCCATAACTTTAAGCCTTACTAAAATGTAAACAGGTGAATTATATAAACAGTTGTCATGAAGGAGGAAATGAGCTATAGAGACACATTTTTTTTAGTTTTTTGTACCAGCCTGTAAACATGTTTGGACATTTTAACATGGGAGTTTATGGGGACTGACTCAAGTTTGGAGCCAGACTCTAGTGGTCATTAGAGGAACTGGTTTTGGTTCTTCAGTGTTGGCTTCATTTTTCAGCCCTGGTGGTTGTTGCTTGGATTGTGACCATATTTCCTGCAACTTGACTGGTTAGCGGAGGGATGCAACTGTGAGGAGGTGATTCCAGTTATCAGATAACATCTCTGTGGCCCGTTTGTTGAGAATCACTTCTCATTTTAATTTTAGCTATGTTTTACTGAAGAAATAGTCCCTAAGAAACTGCAGACATAATGATCTGTGGACACTGTCACTGGAAAGATAAGTTGCTGAGGGGTAGGCAGAAATCTCAGAGACAGATATGTGAAACCTGGACGAATAAAGCCAGAACCCTGCATGGATAGATACACCAGAGAAATTGCCTAGTTTAATTGTACAATAGAACGTGACTAAGGCCAAACTTAAAATGTGGGATACTAACACAACTCTGACCCATATGTAATTCAAGATGTTGAGTTTTCCTGTGGCTGTGAGCAGTGTTTTCGTGGCTTGTGACTGTTGTGTGAGTTCAGGCCTCCAGCAGCTTCCTCAGTCATGTGCTGTCTCCTTTTCCCTCCACTCTTATGCACTGCCGGGTCAACCTCTGGAGCTAAATCTGAGCTCGTGGTGTTTTTATGCCTCTGTCACTTGGCATGAGCGCCGACATTCGTCACACCTGACAGATTTCTGCCATTTCTGGATGCAGAGAGGAACGAGGCTGTAACCTCTTGTCAGCGTCAGATTTGCTGCTAATCTCCTGACAGCTTCAGGATTCAGGAGAAACAAACTGAGCTGAGACGTGGCTCACTGCCAGTCTGTCTCTTTTCTCATTTTCTGTAGCGCTGACCTGCCTGTTGACCCCTTCACCTGCTGCCCACTTCGCAGCAGGCCCTCCTCTCTCCAGCTTTTAGAGACTCTCACACTCTTATCAATTTTTCATGAACCCTCCCTTGACATTCGGAGTTTTGTGCTCTGCGTGGGTGGGTGTACGTGTCAGCGTGTGGAAATAAAAGTCAAAGACGGAGAGACTCAAGGACAGACGGATGAGTGTGTTGGCGTTGTGCACGCTAGGATCGTCTTGAGTTTGCAGAAACTTCACACCATCCTTCCCTGCAACCCCCTCCCAAAAATATGACTGGGCTAAGCTCCTTGACATGATCTCCGACTGAAAACCTCCTCAATTATGTAAGTGCTTTTCCCTCTCAATCCTCGTCCTGTTAAGTGACAGCCCTTATTTGTTTTACTTATTCATGGAAACATTTTAAGTCAGGATAAACCACTTTAAAAGGACGTAACAAGTGGTTTTTGCGGAGGTCGTCCAAGGTTAAGCCCATTGAAATTAAATTTTCTTTTTAGGAGGGGGGTCACATGAAGATCGCAGTGATTTCTTCTGTGAAATCAAAGGATATTGTAAGAAGGGTTTTGAGGTCTGAAGCATTTAATTTGTACAGTCAGGATAAGTCGTGCAATAACATCGAGGGATCCCTGAAAAAATAAAGTATTTGCTCAGAGGCCCTTTCTGTTCCTCTCTGTCTTTTCATGAAGTCATTAGGTGTTCACTTCTTCACTCAGCCTTCCACTCGTTTCAGTTTCCACTTGTCCTCAAACCCTTCACCTGTAGTCTGTTAATGAACCTAAATTGCAAATGAATTTTCATGTTATTACTTGTTATTCATCGTGCTATTTTTTGGCTGTTTTCTGTTTGGGACCTGGGGCCATATCACAGACACTTCCTGTCTTAAGTCTTAAGTTAAGACAGGATTATAAGCACAGAAGCAAATCCATCTAACTTTAGGAATCCTGCCCTATCTAAGGTTAGGAAATCTTAAATACTCGTTCATGAACTTTAATGTCTGTTGCCTAACAACCAACGCTACTTCTCTCATCTCATCTCACTGAGGTTGTAGGAGCTTTATTTGTCATATTTGCACTGGGGGGTTGTATGGTAAGGAGCAAACAGTTGCTGCAAACTGTGCTCGGACATTGTGGCTGTTTATTTTGTTAAGCTTTGTATAGAGCACATATTGGAGGTCGTGGACATTGCAGATTACAGACACATCGGTCTTGAAAAGAAAAGAAGAATATCCCGCACACTGCTCTTGCTCAGCATCACACTTTATTGATCATACTAACGTTTTGGTCTCTTTAGATCTTTGTTAGAAGTATTTGAAACAGTTCTTACAACTACAGACACATAAAAGTAAACACATCATGATACAAAGGTTGGATATCATTATTCCAAGGACACCACTATACCGTAAGCATGCAGTGAGCAGCTGGGAATTAGTGAATAAGTCCATCCTGTTGATATTTGGTTGGTTGTGTAAAAGCAATAAAAGAGCTGTGATATGGATTGAAGAAGTAAGGTGAGTTAAAGTCAGGACAGACTGACAGTTCTCCTAAAGGAAAGAGAGAATAGTTAAGATTTGGGGAAGTTAGGAAAGTTGTGTAATAGCTAATTTTTCCTTTCTGAAGTTAGGATAGGAACACTGACGTAGGAACTGTACATCTGTGATGGCTTTTTCCTGAATCAGGTCCTAAACCTAGTTACCACAGTTACCAAGCAGTTAAGCAAGTTAGGAAGTTTCTGTGATATGGGCTGGTTATTTTCCCCTGTAACCAATCAGCAATGACTGACATGTTGTAATTTTTAGTCACGACAGAAGCTGTGGTCGCCGTTGTGTGGAGTAAAATTACTGTTCATTTCACTCAGATAAAACAAATACATCAAACTACGATGCCTTCAGGAAACCTCAGGATCTTTCTCTCTAGTTTCTTCACTCTATAATCGTCAATCTGTTAACCCTGTGCTGAGTGTACTTGAGCTTTAGGGGGTGTCTCGTTGTGATTATGTCCATATGGATGGAATCAGTAACATTTTCCTCATATAAAGACAGTTACTGTCCCTTCTTAGTCTGATCCCTGAGATTTGTTGATGTTGTAACAGTTAAAATCCCCTCTCAGTCTTCTTTATTTGCTACCTTTCCTCTGGCTGTCCTTGCTCTCCGGGAGATGAGTCGTTTTCTCATCCCCCCACCTTTCAACCCTAAACTGACCTGCCTGTTTTACTGTGGGACTGCCAGACACATGATTATTGTTCAAACTCCTCAGGAGATAGAACAACATCTACTTTAGATCATTCGGTCTTAAAGACCCCAGGATAAAAAAAAAAGAAGCATTTGAATATAAAATCTGCTGTAGAACAAGTTTAAAGGTCAAAGGTCACGGTGACCTTACACAACATGGTTTTGGCCTTGTGAACGCAATATCTTCGTAACGCCTTGAGAGAACTTCTTCAAATTTAGTATCAATATTCACTTGGACTCAGGGATGAACTGATTAGATTTTGATAGTCAAAGGTCAATTACTCAAGACTTCACAGCAGTTACCACAAACTTTCACACAAATGATTCATATTTTATATGACTCTGGACAAACAGGGATGTAACCTGAAACTAGTCTGAGTGGCGGTGGGATACAACCACGAGGCGGTGATTCTAGTTTTTTCAGTAACAGAATAATTACATTTGTTGTCATCAGATGGCTGTAATCCTCGAGTAATCCTCCTCTCATCTGCGCCTGCAACATCCTCACCACAATCAGCCTTTTGTTGTCAGGGCTCTGCCTTTTTTTTTTTTTCTTTTTTTTGACTTTGACTATTTTCAGCTTTTTTTCCAAAGAAATACGTGATGACTGTGTCGGCGTTGTCACATGATGCTCGCAGTGAGGAGAAGAATGGATGTGATGCTTATTGTGATTTGAGGTCTGATGGCTCCAAACTGTTTCAGGTGGTAAACCTTTTCTCTGGATCTCAGTGTTTTATTTTCTAAACTGAAAAGTCACAGAGCGGTTATTAATTTTCCTCCACATGCCACATCTCTGCTCCTTCATCCTCCATCTGTCTTTGGTCTCTGGTCACTTATCTTAATTAATTTAATCTCCACTTCCTTCTCTCTGTCCTTTTTCTTCTTTATTCACCCCCCCCCCTTTTTTTCTCATCCATTAGTTTTGCCAGTTA